GAACCGGTATATTCTGCATTTAGAATTGGCGTCTTCCGTTTTAAATTTTCCATTCGAAATAGTCAGCCGGTCAATATATGAAAGAAGTTTGCCTTGGAGTTTGAAACTTTCAAGTGGTCTACTCTTCTAATCGAAATAGGTGCCACACCCGAAAACCTGCAAGACCGGGAATTTGCTTATCTTTCACACATCTTGAAAATATAACGTAACTAAGTTATTTATACCATGACGTACATGTTTAGTTCAGAGCTCACATTATTGAAATTTCATTTGAATTTCAATGAATTTTTACTCAAAGTAATGGTTGTAACTGAATAAGACATAACATTTAAATTAATTTCCGATATATCATTGTATTATGTGGAAATATAATCATATTTTAATATGCAAAGAAATTCAATTCATTTAATTTTATGTCCTTATTTACATACCTGCTTTATTTACGGATCAATCTACAAGCAAAGCATATTACTCAAACCACGGCTAAAGCATTTAGTTCATTACTTCTAATATCCCCTGCGTTCCTGCTCCTCTGAATGATATTCTTTTCCGAATGACTCGCTGAAAAACGTACTCTTTATTTAAGAAAATAGTGATTTGACTGTTAATCAAGGCTAAAGAGTAAATCTTTCTCAAAGTAATGCTTTTTTTAAAAAAGCTAGTGCGAAAAACATTACATTTCAACTGAGTCGTGTGTATATTTTGTACCCTAACATTTAACAATTAGATTAAGAAAAATGTTCAAATATTTACGATTTCTAAATTTACGATTGTGACAGCTATTCTTGCAGAATAATTCACATGATTGTTCTTCAGATTCACGTAAACTGGCATTATCTTACAGACCAAATACACTATGTTGATAGGTATATAGGTGTTGTGGTGTGATATCTTTGGCATTTTTCATAAAATAATTAAAGACGTTGTCATTGCCAAATATATTATTTAATGCAATAGCAGCTTTCGATGGCTTAGCCATCATCATCAGTTGTCTGCTGGATGGAAGCCACAAAAACGACTACTCCAAACGGCTAACCCATCGAAAGCTGCTATTGCATTAAATAATATATTTGGCAATGGCAACGTCTTTAATTATTTTACACTATGTTGAACCAAATATTTCAATTTGTTATATCAAACATTACGTTTAGGTTGCTGATATGTAGTATTGCTGAAAATTCTCGATTCGCGTGTTAGGTGATTTATTCACCATTAATTCGAGGAAAAAACATTATAGTATTTATTCCAACACAAATATTTCAAAATAAACGTTTAGTGAAATAAATTAGCTCTCGACGTTGTTTGAAGTGAAATGAGTGAGGTCAAAACAATTAATTCGTTTTCTTTTATATGATGTTTTACTAAGGTTGGCACTTGCGTATTTTTCAGGCCTAGATTGATATTTTCGATTTATGCCGCAAAAATTCAGTTTTTCGAACGGATATGGTCCTTAAAATACTTCTTGAGAGGCGAGTGTAAGAAAATAATTTTTCCAAATTAGGTAACTTTCGTCCATTGGAAACATCACGCCAACACGAGTTACGAATGAATGGCTCTAAACCCTCTGATTTTTTTCGATTATTAAATATATCTTCGAGTGAATCGATAAAATGACTTCATTTTCATGGCGAGGGTCAGGCAGCATATATGGCCTGCCCTTCCGCCTCGACTTCACCAATCGATAGTCATAATCCAGGAAGGCCGCTTTATGCTTTGAGTCCGCCGACTTCCAGCTTGATGTCAGCCGACTGTCAGATCAACCTCGCAAATTCAGTCAGCTTCCATGCAGTTTTTAGTGTGTATTTTTCAAATTTATATTCATGCCAAAAGTATGGCATAATATTCTGGGTAAAGCATTGAAGCATGATGAGGTTCTTTCTAAAGTATTGAAATATGACTGGGAAAATACGATAGAATAATAAAACCTTTATCATTGAAAAATTTGGAACCGTTTGAGAAAAATGATTGAGCGTTTCTGAAGATGCGCAATTTTGAGCTCATCTACACACAAGTTACAAGTTTAAGACAGACTTCATCATAAAACATTTTAAGTACTTGCTCTCACAAATGCAGTCATGAATGGGAAATTCCCGTAATATAAATATTAACGACTGTGGGATATTAATAAATCGGTACATGTGTGCAATTTATGACAAATTAAAAGAATATATTAATATAGCGTTTCTGTCATTTTATTCAGTGCATTTAGCATTATCAGTACTACAAGTGTAAAGAAAAAATATGAAGCCGTTTTTGAGAAAATTTTATTTTTAATTTATTACTCAAAATTGCTTGAGAAGTAATTATGTTTTAAAAAAATGTACATGATAGGAATTATGAAACAAACTACAAAGAGCAAAATTTCATTTCAAGAAAAATCTTTATCTTGAATATTGCAGGAAAACGCCGAAAAAATTTAAAGCTTTTTGCAATTTCGAAAATTCATTTAACAGTGAAAATCGGACCTATTCTATCATCATAAAAGCATTTCACTCTACTCTTACAAATAATTTTCAAAAAATGAAGAAATTTTCGAAAACGTGTTGATAAATGTCTTAAAAGCTTCATGTAAATACCCCCCAAAATTAAAGAATATTTTTAAAAATCTAATGTGTCCAATGCTCCACCCCAGGCATATCTTTGAAGAAAAAAATTGTATTATCTTCTATCAAAAATATAAGTTTTTAATTGAATTTGACGTTATTTAAAAATGTAGTTTTTTTCAACAGATTTTGTTGAAGAAAGTATCTCTAACATCAATATCGTATTTTTGCAATATTTTTGGCAGTTTTCGACAATACAGAATGTTTGCGGATGATGGGACAAGCACCAACTATCTCACCATCCTTTGCTACATTCGAGGGAAAAGTTTACATAGAAAAATGTATTCTGTAAATAGTTACAAAAACTGGTGGCAGAATTTAATGAAAAGTATTTGAGCTGTTTTTGTGGAAATATTTTTTTAAGAATTGCCGATATTTCACGCAAAAATACGCGAAAACTACACAGATTTGCAACAAATTGTACGTGACCTTAATTCAAGAGCTATCTTTGAACAACAGATTTTACAAAAGAAAACATGTTTATCTTCAATATTATAATTTTAGGAAGAAGCTAAAAAAATTTGAACTTTTGCACATTTCAAAATTTGGGATTTCAAGGAAAATATTGCATCTATTTTTAAGCGTATTTTACGCTATCAGAAAACAAGGTTTAATTTTAAGATATTGTAGCAATTTTTGAGAAAAATTAGAACATGTTGAGACTTTATGTAAAGTACATCCCAAAACACGAAATATCCGTGTCAATCTCGCAGAATTTAAGAGTTTGTTTAGATCAATCGGGAAATATGAATTTGGGAGAAAATCGTCTGAATGGATTTTTCAGTATCAAGAACCAACAAACATGAATTCTGACTACACTATTTTCTGTATACTATATTAAATAACATACACTACCCACTTAATGTCGAGCTAAGAATTTTTTTATTTATTTACGTCAAAAACAGTTAAAAACTGTGTGTGACGTGCTATGGAGAGACAATAATTTGAAGTTACTTCCCAGTATTTGAATAATTCCTAGCCATTTTACGACCCTTGCGTTCCCTAGACTTCCGCACGGGACCAATAAGTTTCTTTTCAGCATTTACTATCTGCAATGCTAAATTGCTCCAACGTAATTTGCAAATTGTGTGTAGAACTTAATATAGCTTCTGAGATCAATTAACGAGATAGTCAGTAGATCGCCCAAAGACGAGATCTCCAGGGTCTTGAGGGTATTGATTGTGAATCTTGGCACAGCCCCAGAGGTTCCAACCACCACTGGTAGGATTCTGACGTTGGACTCTCCATGAAGTTGGACCGCCAGGGGAATGACTCGTTGGTATTTTACCACCTTTTCCTCCCCTGATTTCCGAAGTTTAGACACAACCCCGTGGCAGACAGTCTCATCGACCAAGTGGACTCCACTCTGCTTTTTATTACCAGGTCAGGTTTGAGTCTAACCCCTTCGGCAACGTAGAAAGTGGCTTCCGTGGACACCATGGTGTCCGATTTCCGGAGCATTTTCCCCTCTATGAAGTTCTTCATCTCGTCATGACGTTGTATTCTTGCTGGCTTTGTAAAAATGCACTGACCGACGATGTGTTTTCGTGTTTTCTACCGCTGTATTGCACTTCCTGCAGTATACATCCTCTCTGGGCTTTCCTCTACTAAGAGTAGTTTCATTGGCAGCGGTATTTGTTCTCAATTGGAGTGTAGTGAAAAAAGACCAGGATTCAGAAGATGATTGTCTTTCAAGAAGGCATTTCCAATCGGATAGTTTATATGCGCCCTAGCCGCTCTCCCTGGGGATCCCAGCTTCTCCCAGGAGGTCACCTCGCTAGAGGAAGTGATCTACTACTTCATGATACATCCCTTTTTGTTACCACGGTCTAGAATAAGATTTGTTCTGTGAAAAATTTCCCGATTTCCGGCACTCGATTACAAAACCTTCTCTTCTTTCGAAGTTTGTCGACAGAGTAAAACTAAGAACACATATATAATTTTTAAGTATGTTTTTGTATCACGCTTTTTGTCTTATTTAATAGTTTTAAAGTGTACAGAGTATCCCGCCAAGTTGACTACAGGAAATATCTTTGAAACTGCTTGGAGTATCCGAATGTGCTTTGCGGCAAGTGTTTGATGTTTGGGAAGTAATATATTGTGTTTACTTATTTGTGACATCTGTAATTTTGTAGATAGTCATAGTTTATCCTTTTTAAGTGGAAATGGTTTTTTACCAGTATTTAAAAGTTTTGAATGACATAGGTACAGAGAGGAATGATATTTGAGGTATTTTCATGGTAGTGTTTCATACAATTTCCACGTAGTTATCTATTTTATTATTTTTTCAAAAGGCAAATTTTAAATGTGTACGACTTTTTGGATAAAAGGATTAAAATGAGTCGGGTAGAAAATAATCAGGAAGACAATAATCAAATTTCTTAATAGATATATAGATTTATTTAGAGCTGCAGAAACACTACGTAGTACACGTTTGACAGTGAGGACGCTTAAGATCTGCAAAATAGAAATGATTGCAATTAATTTACGGTAAACCTTAATAACAATTGAATTATTGGAATAATTAAAACACTAAAATATTACAACTTCGCAAATCAAATCCTTAAAAAAACCCTGAAAGGACATGAAATTGAAGAATGGAGAGCATTGAAACGCTGCTCACCGGCTTAACCGTAGTAGCCGTAGAGGCCGCGGCCGTAGCCTCCGTAGAGGCCACCGCCGTAGAGGCCGCGACCGTAGGCGTAGGGGGCAGCATAGCCGCCGTAGTAGCCGCCGTAGCCGCTGCGGAGGCCGCCGTAGCCGAGGCCGCCGTAGTAGCCGCCCAGCAGCTGAGCGTTTGAGGCGGCCAGAAGGGCCAGCACGGCGAGGACAGCGAGCACCTGCGGATTGGCAGTACGTCAACGTCGGCACTACACGGCGAACGCTTACGGAAAGACCACAAATGAAGTCAGGGCATTTTTACAGCATGATAAGAGAATGCCGGAAGAGTGAATATAACGAAAAGCATTTTGCAATAGTGCAAAACGATGCGGAAAAGCTAATGATAATAATAACAAGAATAATAACAATAATAATAATAACAATATTAATAACTATTGACAACAATAATAATAACAAAAAGAAAAAGGAGAAGAAATTCCAAGAGCGAGTAAGTTGGATAGCGAGTGTACTCAGCCGCTACGTAAAAATATAGCGCAGATTCTTCAATAAATCGCAAATATGTTTCGAACAAACTTTTAAATTCTACTTCACAAAGATAATGCCAAGACAACATAAGACCCTAAAACGTTCCGTTTTTACATTTAGTTATTATAATTTTCAATATGAAAGCACGGAATCTAGAGGGTATTTTCTTTGAATGAGATTATCCCGTCCAGGCTAGAGTGCTCATGGATATTAATGTACTGACATTATTACTGCACGTACTTGAAACTATACAGAAGACAACTACTTTTCTATACTTTTGTCGTAATTATTAGCTTTCAATGACTTCCTCACCATCGTTGAGTGTGTTGTGAGGTAGTCCATATCAATTATGAATCGACTGAAGAAGAACCTTCGAATGCTACTGGAACGCAAGAGGAAGCTGAAACTTTTATCTTGGGTTTTACTGTAACAACCAGTAGTACCTTATTCAATTCTGGGTTCATAGTGCTTGGTGTAAATGAAAAACAGAGTGATACTCGACAGGAAAGACTTCTCAACGGTTCAGTGATCAATAAGATACGCTGCTCTTGAAATTGGACGATTTCTCCGAAATAGTGTAGATTAAAGAATCATAAAGTCAAAGATCAACATTCGATTTGTCACATCTTCTCATCATTACAGAAAACAAGGCGAGGAGTTTGTGATTTTGGTATGATAATATTGAAATTAAGCAAAGATAGGAATAGAATATAATTGAGTGAAATCCTATCACAATGCCATTTAATAATAAAGAAAAAATTAATGAATATTATTATATAACCACATATTTATTAAAAATTAATCACAAATTTTATCCCAATACCTATTTATTTAATGCCAGAACTACGTCAATTATCGCATTTCTTAGGAATAGTTAGTTTAAAATGCAATTCTTGTCATTCAGTAGAAAAAAACAACTACATCCATATGAGAAGAACTCGCACATAATGTATTTTATCAATCTTCTTCATTATTGCAATCATTATACTCCCCTACATTAAGTCAGAAAAATTTACGACAGTATCCACAGAGTATATAAAAGTCACACACGGGTGATAGAAACAAATTTTCCTTTTAGGAACGATACTCTACTGCTTTACCAGGAATTCTTAAGAGTAGGACGGCCTATTTTCGGTGTTTGTCATGAAATAGTATTATAGTTAAATTAAAACTTTTTTTTTATTATTTGGCTATCAACTGAAAAACAGCTTTCATAACAAATGGAAAACTTCTGTGTTACGACAAGACAAGGATATCTACCGCAGTACACTTACCAGCTTGTACATGGTTGATAGAAGGCTCTTGAGACTTGGACAAGAACTGTACTGTCTGAGATGTGCAGGGCACTTTTATAGGAAGTCTTTGGCCTTCGGCATGGACGCCCGCGCCTCCGTCTCCAGCTCAAACGGTTTTTTTCCGCCGATCACATTCCCTGACCTCCTGTACGTAAGTCGCGACACCAGAAATTACCACCGGCAGTCACATGACGCAGGTCCTACAAATCATCCAGTTGCATTCTCAGCCAAGTAAGGCGGAGCTCGTCAAGGTCTCTTCCAGAAACACAAGAAGAAAAGAATTCGTTTGAATTTCTTTTCTTCTGTACTGAGTCCGTCTTTTCATAACTGGCAAACAACGGGAATAATGAAAATGGAAGATATTAAACGAGTTGTACCGATTTCTGTGTAAGTAAAATACTTCACATATCAGTAACACAATGTTTTGATCATAACGAATAATATTGAAATATTTCGTCGGTGCGTAAGCGAAGCGAAACGTTTAAAAAAGTGTATTTTGTAGTAACCTTCGAACTACTCATTTTATCATTCTCAACCAAAGGTGTTCTTTGTTTAATCTTAAAATACGGATTAAAAATAGACCTATCCGTCGTGCAATAAAAATGGAAACTAATTGAGTTTTATTTTTAATATTACTAACTGATTTTTTTTTAATATTTAACTTCTCGATGAACTCTCGATAAACTGTACGCTCCCCGTTGATACTAAAATTAAGCAAAGTTCCCATGGTAAAAACTAAGCAAAGTTATTCAGGTCTCGGGAGTTACCAGAATTGTCACTATATAATGCCAAAACAAGCCTCAAAGTGGACAAAATTGAACTATCGCGACCGGCTACTACCGTGGAAAAATATTACGCTTTCCACTTTTAGGGATAGAGAAACGAACGATGGTTCTTTAAATTCACGTTACTGAGGAGAAAATAAGAACTTGTTGTTAACTTAAAAATTGTAAAATTCCTAGTTTGAAATAAATATTGGTGACTGTCGTGAAAATGCTAAATGCACCACCATGATTTTTATGGCTTCTCGTGAAGCGGTTTAAACTCTTCAAAGGCTCGGACAAGACTGGAGATGCATTGCGCTAGGCCCTTTCTCCCTTTGTGCCTTGCCTGCACGTAATTTAAACAATGTTTATAAAACGATGGTAACTATTTGAACGTAACCCCCAATACCAACCTTGGAAAAGCAAGTTTACGGTTTCTGGTGGCAGTAACTCTTGAATTAAAAATACTAATCTTCATGCATGAAAGAGTAATCACGCATATGTATATCCGAGAAATTTACTTTTTTAAACCACCCGATTTATTTTTACTAATTCTCACTGTTCGTTACCTGTGGACTGGTCACATTAACAGATATGTTACCACTGTTCGGCCCTTTCCATTGATCTGAATTCGCTCGCCACTATCGCTAGACTCGTATTGCTTGTTAAACTAACTAATTATCTCTCATCATTTCTAAACTAAATTTAATTGGTCTACAATCACCTATATCCACAGATGTCGCACAAACTAACTTCGAACTTGTACTATTCTATGACTAAAATTAGGCACACTTCAGAGGGTTTTTTCTTTTAAAGTATTTCGAATAGTTGAGAGGTTTTAACATATGTGTCCGTCGTAAGCTTCTGCTTTAAGCTACTCATATTTTGCGACGAATGAATAAGAAACAACTTCCTTTTTAGAAACATGTCTAGCATGTCTTTAATTCTGCTTTTTGCGCATGTATTTCTGGAGTTTATTTACTTCTATTTTTTATTGACACGGTTCGACAGAAACTGCTTTTTCTACCCAATTCACAAGTTTCTAAAGGTTGACCGGATGTTTGATCACTCAAGTGTTAGCTGAAGGTAGCGTTAAAGGTATTGATCTTGCGAGAAATGGCGTTCTTAACTTCCAGAAGCAGCTATTCAGTTCCACCTGTTCAAGAGACATTTCTCTTTCTTTCCGATAGCACTTCAACCAACCAAGTCGTGCATGCTTGCCTAGTATTCACAGAACAATGTGTGGCTTCAGAAGAGAGCCATGCAAGTTGTGGCCGCGTGGAAAATAAATAGGGTTAAAACATGTTTAAGCAGCTCTAAATATGCTTCGAAAGATACATTTTAATATGTAGCTTTATTTTCATACCATTGATGACAAACGTATTATAAAAAAAGAATATTTCAACCGTTGACTAAGATTAGCCGACCTTGATGGTCGAGGTGGATAGGAGCATGTGCTGACTCGGCACTTCAGTTCGAAGGGTCGTGATTATCCGCATTATATGTGGAGGTACTCAGGAGAGTTCAACCTCCAAAAACTAATAGAGGGTCTGAAGATGTTCTCCATTTGTAGATTACGCTCTAAGAAGCGAAAGTCGTTCTTCCTGTTGGCAGAAATAATGGCTTTGAAAGTCCTAAACCGCACGAATGGTACGTATTTTCGAGTAGTACTTGATGCCCAGTACAATATTGGTAATTCTATTGGGCTTTGCTGATTACTTTTAATATAAAAAAGTTTTCAGTTTGCCCTCTTCAGAAACCCTGGAGAGACGGGAATTTATTCAAGCGTTGGGGTTACATGATACATATATAAATAAAAGAGTATATTAACCAAATTAAAACATACCAATCAGATAAAATAAAAATTACATGTCAATAAACAAAAACTTGTCAGATTTCTTCGAACCATAATTGTTCGTACACGAATAATTGATAATAACAACCCTGGTATCAATCTCAGGAAAGTAGTTATAAAACAAGAAAGATCTAATATTTTGTGGAATATCCTTTCGCCTTGATAAAGGCTTGGCATCTTCGCTGCATTGAATTAATCAGACTGTGGCAAACTTCCGGACAATTTTTTTTTCACTCTTCCAAAAGAATTTTCTTTAAGTCTTCTTTTGAAGAAATATTACGTTTTATTATTTTTGATTTCCATAAGGCTCTCATATGTTCGATTACATTAATCAGGTGATTATATAGGAGTGTGCTACTGTTTTAGCACGTTCCAAATTATTCAATCCTTATTAATTGCTGCTGTATATTGTTGTCATCTTGTTGAAAGACAAAGAGATGCCATTTCCATGTTCTACACGTTGTTTGACATATGTTTTTAAAATGTTATTGTAAACTGACTTGTTCATTATGCCAACGATAAAATGTAGGTTTCTAACGCCTTTCGATTACATAGAGCACCAAAGCATGCTTGAAACGCCTCCTTGTTTTACAGTTGACAGAGTAATAGCCACATGATTGTCCGTAATGGATTTTTTCCACAACCTATGGACATCAGATCCAAAAATATTTTGGTCTCATCAGATCAAGAACGGAATTCGAGAATTCCTAATCTTTATTCATATGCTCTTTTGGGAGCTTAAGTCTCAAGCGCAGTTCTTCTTACTTACAAATGGCCTCTTCGCAGCAATTCTTTCATGTGTATACAGCATCTGGCAGAGGCTGGAATGACTCACATCTTTCCCTGGTCTTTGTTTCACCAAAATGCGCAATTATGACACATTTAATTTAGGCGCTCTTCCCTCGCGTCCAGTCTTTTCTTCTTCTTCGAAGCAATTACATTGTTGAGCCATTGTATTTAAATTTGTTAACAATATATTGTATAGTTGAATGACTTGTTGACTATTTGTCCTTTATTTCATAATGAATTGTCATTAAGGGCAAGGTTAATAATGATGTCTTGCACACAAGAACTGATTTATTTCCGCTTACTCATGTTCTAAGCAGATGAAACTTGAAGCGCTCAGGGTGTATGATCACAAGATTTTGAACAGACCGCTGACAGACCGTGACTAACTAAATATTAGTTTAAAAAGTTCCCTTCTATAGTTAAGATCATACTATGAAACTCAATTTTACGAACTTAAATGGTGCATCAATTTAGCGGTCTACTTAGTTGTACATTTTGTAGGCTTGATACAACAAAAAATAATAACATTTTAGAGCACGCATTGCCTTTCTTAAACACCCAGAACGAACACCTAATTTTAAAAAAATGCAATTCCAAAGAATAAACAATAGTATGAATTAAAAAATATCAGGCGAAGGAACAAAAATGGTACATCCTGTATGATTGATTACTGTTAAACAGTAATGACTAGCAACGTTCATCTTGCTATTCTAAACATTGTGCGAGTTTTTTAGGCGTGAAATTATTGATTTACTCACAAATATTGTTGTGCTAAATGGACCCAAATAACTAGAAATCCGCTTTAATTTAATATTATTTTAAGCAAAAAAAAGGCGTCTGTATACGTTCTGTCATTGCAATGGTAAATTCATTCACTTACCGCAGCAATCATTCAAAATTGTTTCCCAGACTGTAGGCGAGGTTTATTTCTTCCTCTAATTTATGAGTTACCAAGAATTATATATATGTATGTATTCCTAGAATGGTTTGTAACAAAAAAAAGAGAAGCAAACAAAAAGGTAATTATTGGCTCTGAGAGATGGTATCAAGGATAGTCTACGAAATATAGCAGTTATCGCCCTATAATTTGGTATTAGATCACTGCCCAGTGTGGTCACATAAACAATCTAAACTAAAGTTACTCCTAGATTTGTGCGTTTTCGATAATTCGAAATGTAATAAAGAGCTACGCTTGCTCACTTGCATGAGAGTATGCGTGGTAATGGTGAATTTGTGGTCAGCTATTTTGTTAAGAAACATCGTTGCTCTAACAGATAATATAATTTTCACATGCAGCCTGCACATGACAGAGGCCGGGGTTTGGCGCGACGCAGTATGGTGGAGTGAGCCGAAAGACGGCGGCGGAGGGGGCGTAGGGCAGGGTTACCAGATGTGTTCCCCACCACTGCAAAGGAATTTCCCCCAATAACCTTCCCAATCAAACAAAATTACTCAGCTTAGAAGCGAAACATATTCTCCAAATTATGGAGCATTGACATGCTGTTCCTGACGATTTCACTGGCTCTCTCCTTAAATTCAAATCAACAAATCTTCGTCATTGAAGCTATTCGAAATTCTTCTCGTTTTTCTCATGTGTTTCTTTCTCTAAGCCTGTCGTTTATTTTTTCTTTTATTAATACATAAAATTAAAAAGTAATAACATTTTTTCTTTTTGATCCATAATAATTGAGAGAATAATATTTCTATCTCGACTCCGGGTGAAAAATTTCCTCCAAAAATTCCCAAACATTTCCAGTCTATTTATGTTCCCCATTCTTTTCCCACAACGAAGAAAAAGCCACATTTGGGGGTAAAATTCCCCAATCTGGCACCCTGGACTGAGCCATATGACGGGGGGGGGCAGTGGTTAGCAATTAGGGGGCTAGGGGGGGGGGTCGCGTAAACGACCCTGGGGTGGCCGCCCACAGCGCGTCCGCGACGCGCCACTCACTTCTGCTACTTTCGAACAGCGCCGGACCGGTGGGCCATGGCGATGGCTGCGGACGTAAGAGCCTGAACCAGTTTGCGACGTAACGAGAGTAGGGAACTCGATGAAATAGACTTTTCCGGTGCAACAAATCAGTACCCTGAAGTTTATCGTATTCCTCCTGAAGATTAGGGAGATTTTGCACGGCATAAAGTTTAGCAATCTCCCTCTTCTGCGCAAGCACAATTCACAAATGTGATGTGAAACTCGAACTGCGCATGCGCCAAAGCTTAATAGCGCTGTCTATTGTAAGTGGTAGCACTGCAGCAAGTATGTGCGATTTAAAGTCGGTTCACTTAGCTACCTTCTCCTTCACCTTCATCTACAGTAAACCCTCATTAAGGTGAATTCCAAGGAACCGAAATAATCGGAGTTTGTATTATAAAAATTATTGCTATCCGATTAATATAAATGACCATAGTACAGTAATCCCTTGCCGAAACCCAAGTTTTGTTCGTGTTGCGGCAAAATTCGTGTTAACCGAATTCGTGAAAACGAGGGTTTATAGTAGTTAATATTGTCATTTTATTTAATATAGGTAGGCTGCTGAAGTTTATAAAATAAACATCATTGTTATTTTATAAGTCTTCTATAAATAGTTTTATTATTCAAATTTTGGGAACTCCTTTTCTCCCATCAACAGGTGTAAGGATTTTATTATCTTAATTTGTTATATAAGACAATTCCGAGATTTAAAAAAAATTAATTTTTCCAACTTTTTAAAAAACATTCATTTATTCATTGCTAAAGTTGTCGTATTTTAAAATGAAATAATCATTGAATCATTCAATTTTGTTTTTAATAACATAATCTAACCTTTTTCTTCCAATTTTACTATTATGTATAACAGTTTTTGGTATAAAATATAAATGTCAGGCTCTCCTTTGAATTGTTACCATGATGTATCCTATATTATGTTTCTTCCTACCTTCATTCTTTTTGACTTGAACGTCTTAAACAGGCCTTTGTTATGCGGTCACGTCATGTTGTACACTGATAGAGATTACGTTCAGTGTTTTACTGAGAGGAGAATGGGTTGAACGGTCGATTGTCAGAGTTTCTATAATTTCGTGTTTGATAAGAACTGTTTTATTTGTAACGTCATAGTGCAATATTAGTGCAATTTATGACTTTCATAATTGTCCTTAATGCATAAAGGCAATTTATATTTGTCCTGTCTTTGTGCACTTCAAGGTGATAAAATATGCATTAATGGCAGCATTTTATTTGAAATTAAGAAGAGTTTTTAACCTTATAAATAAAACAAATATAATAGCAATTTCTTCTTTATATTACCACATATTAATTCATTTACTGCTTTGTTCTCCAGAGGCACGCATAAGCTCAGCAAGCATTTGCTATAGTTTCCGAATTCCGTTGCAGTCAATTACGAAGATAAAAGTTTCTGAGATACGAAGCGACTCTGCATGACTGAGGACGAGACTGAATTTTCTTACTCAGAACCGCGCTGTAGCGCCTGAACTTTGATAGTACGAGACAGAACGTTAATGTGTTTCCACACCCTTCCCCTCCCCTTGCCATCCATACCCGACACATGACTTCCGGTTTGTGCCCAATTCTATCGTTTCAGAAATGTGCAATTGGACAAATGCCTCGTTTGTATCCGAACACATCCAGATTTTCTCCCCTGTGATATTTAAGCACCGCTTGTTTAATTTCAGAATATGACATAACACATTTTTATGTCTTTTTTGCAGTTTTCCTTTGGAAATTTCTGTTTATGTGAACTCGGTGTATTAGTTCGTGCACTAGCCACCTCTCGGCGTCTGCTGTAAATCATGTAATTGAAGTGCAGTTGTGTTGGCAGCTCCAAGGGTATTTTGTCCAGTAGTCGGCCTGCCGCATTCTCATTTGCGCTTTGCAGGATTCGTGCTGTAGATGTTCTGGAGGAAGCACTTTGTATTATACTTGGGTTTTCATTTTTTTGTCACGTGAGAGCATGTCTTCACGATGGAATGTCTTCACGATGGAATATATCACGACATTTCGCGTCTTTCTCGGTCATGCCGCTAAATGACGCAAGATCGCTGGGACTGCTCGATACGGTCGCGATCATGTGACATTAACGACACGATCGCGAAAGACGCGAAATGCACTGAGATATTCCATCGAGAACACAGGCCCTCACGTGTCAAAAACTAAAAACCCAACTATAGCTTGGTGTTGGGGAAGCAATAACTTGCTCATTAGTTACTTGGATATCGCTGAGAAAGCCTAAGATTGTCTCGAAGATTCCATTTTGTGCTGGCTAAGTACCGTGTGAATATATTTATAACTCACATTTTGTTTTCGTGTTGTATTTGATTATTGAATCAATGACTAGCTATCCATGTATTGAAAGTGATTTGGGGGATTTATTTCGCCTTTATGTAGCATTGAAAGTATGACATATCTCGATATCGGGTTGAAAGAACCAGACACAGCCAGGCAACAGCGCTGATTCAGCAACAATTCTAGTCTTGTGTTTGTAAGAATTTGCAGAATTTCTCATGCTCAAAAACTGTACATTTGGTGAACTTTTACTATTTCGCTGTGCTTGGCTC